TACAGCTCCTCCCCGACTTTTTTTTTTTTTTTTTTTACGGGGATTAGCCCACCCGGGCACAGGTCACTGACCCACATCGGGGGGACCCAAATCCAGGTCGTAAGTCGAAATGGTCGTAAGTCGAAAATCTAATATGGGTGTCTCTTTTTCTTCTCAGCACCACAAAACTCTCACTTTTAAGCTTGCCAGCCATTTTAAAGTGAATTACAAACGAAAATTTTGTCAGTACACAGCGCAATCACTGACATTTGGACTCGAAAATACGTAATTTAACAAAATTGTGTTACGACTGAGGCAGGTCGTAAGTGCGGGTAGTCGTAAGTTGGAGAGGAGCTGTGATCTTTTTCTTTTCTATTTTTAATTTATTTTTACTCCTATTTTTTCGCCCCCCTAGGCCCCATTGTGGGTCGATGACCTGTGCCAAGGTGGGCTATTTTCCGTATTAAAAAATAAATAAATAAATAAATAAATTAATTAATAAATAGAAAAAATATTAACAAAATTCAACTACAGTATATTGTATACTTGATGTGCATGTTTTACTCTTGATATAGTACTGTACAGGAATACTTCGTTTAGCAATCGAGATGAATTCCTGAAAAACAGATCGCTAAATGATTTGATCACTGAGCGAACAGAAACAAGAAATAATATCATAAACAAGGAATAACGAGGAATAATATCTGTGGAGATGGTATGTAAATGTGTACCAAAGTCCCATGGCTGACTCGCCACCCAATAGCACTCAGAGCGGGTGAGACTACAATGTGAAATATGTTATTCTTCAACTTGTAATTTAAGGTAGATATTCATATGTAATTTTCTTGTACTCTAGTTACCTACACACACATTTGTTCATACAGAATGTGTAAAAAAAAAAAAAAAATTCAAAAGGTGAAAAACATAACGGTGCTCCTCTACTTAAAAACATCCAACTTATAAACTTTCAAATATACAACCATCACCATTAGGGGCTTACCTTCCAGAGCAGGTGTTTAATGTGGATGAGACTGGATTATTTTGAAGAAAATTCCAGATAGAACATGCACTACCTAAGAGGAGAAGAGTGAGCCTGGTTTTAAGGCTGTATTAAAGGGTATAGCTGTACTAAACATTCATAATCTTTTAATTTTTTACAATATGTTTGGTATCTACAAAAAATATGTTTGGTATCTACAAGAGTAAAGTTGGACTTACAAACAATTGGACTTACGAACAAGCCTCAGGAACATAACTCATTCCTTAAGTAGTAGAGCACCTGTACAGTACTGTACACAGGTCTTACCTGGTCTGCCTGTTAGTCGACAAGGCAGGGAAGAGCAATCACTTTAATACACAATACAGGTCCACCACCGATTTTCCAGCACCCTTGGTTCCAAAGCCTTATCGGATTATCCGTTTTGCCGGACCAACCGAGGTCACGTAATAATAATTCAACAATACAACTCTGACCCACTAATGATACACTCCTGTGTCTCTAAAGCACCATGGACTGCTAAAAACTTAAATCAAACAAATATTAAATGTAAATTAAATGTGAAAAAAATAATAATAATTTTGAGCAACATCACTGTACACACTACTCAAATGTACTCCACTGGACTAAATTTTTTATCTCTTGTGCAAACTATGTGATGTTTATACTCAAATTAATCACCATCTTACAAGGATTCCAGCAATGCAAATTATATTCTGCTAAGTCAGCTACATTTTATAAGATAAAAACTTTAAGCCTAAAACTACCTTCACCCTGGCTGGGAGGGAGGCTAAGTGCTCTCTCATAATTTTTCCGGACTATCAGTTCCCGGATAATCGGTGGTGTACCTGTACCACAATAGTACAGGTAATGTACAGTCCATACATTGCTCAATAGCATGCCAGTCACAACAATAACAGCGATGCACAGCAATACAAATGATTCACAATGATCAAGTACATACAGAGCAATATGGTAAAGCACAGATTGCAATGTTCAAAGGTAAGGTAAACACTAGTTGTAATAACGGCCTGGGTTCACAGGTGGCGTGCCGGTAACATATATCTACAGTAATGTACGCGAGTTATATTTAATAAACCTAGATAAGTACCCCCTGTTGTTACCAAAAAATTCATTTCTGTTTTTGCTGGAAAAGCTAAATAATGATTTCTAAAAATCCTTTCTAAAATTCAGGTTGGCTGATTCATAGGTAGTATCTTATATAGCAGCTCCCTTTCCAAGTGGTTTAGTGTCAGCCTGGAAAATACATTGTACCATGATCTCTGAGTGGGCTGGAAGACATACACTATCACACTTGGCATTTATTTTAACCACTTAATTCTGTTACTGTATTTCCACCTGTATTTCAATATTTGTCTTGAGATTACATTATACTGGATAGGTAGGTAAATAGTTAAATGGAATTAAATAGTTTTTTTTATTTACTTATATGTGGCAATTCTAAATGGAATGCAATTACCTGTAGTAAAAGCCTCTGCTTCACAGGAAACATGCTGCAGCGAGCTCCAGACATCACTTACATAAAATAATATACATTTACAGTGACCCCTCGTTTAACGAACACCTCGGTTAACGTAATTTCGATTAACGAACTGCCTTCCATAAGGATCTTCAATTCGGTTAACGAAAAAAAATTCGCTTAACGAACTTCTTACGAACCGACCTCAACATGTTTTCGCTTGCACTGACCGGGCAACCAGCTTTAGTATCAGTCCGCCAATACATTAATCGGTTCTAGGGCTTAAATTCCTTACTATTTTTGTAAATATCAAGAAGTTTATACTATTCAATAATTTTAAAAGTTTAATATTCAATTTTTTAGTCATTTTAACAATTATTGAACAAAATTGAAGGTAAAGTGACTAGTTTAATGCGCGGCATCCAGCCTCTTAACACAGCAAACAGGCGTCAGTCTCTCTCTGTTTTCACTGGAGGTAACATCTTGCTTGAGACTCTCTTCAACTAAACGCTTTTTTCTGTGTTTCCAAGCAAATTATTGGTCATTTTGAAATATATTTTATATTTTGACAATATATAATGCAGTGCAGCGTTGATTTAAAGAAAATAATCTTGAATTAAACCAGAGAGCTAAAATTTTATGGGTGAAATGGCACCATGGGGTGACTTCTCTTCCACCCCAATGCCTTCTCTTCTTCCTTCCCCTCCACCCCCATTCTAAATCCCATCATCATCATCATCATCCAGGAGCCTTCTACATACACACCTCAAAGTAAGTGAACTTTTTTACAATTTTTGTTGAATTTAGGAAATTTTCGGTGAGCTGGAACCAATTACCCAAAAACCCATTGCAACAATGGTTTCGGTTAACGAACGTTTCGGTTAACTTCTGGAACGGATTGAGTTCGTTAACCGAACTGTACATAATTCTACACTTATTTTACTATTCAATGTTCTCAAATATGTCAATATTATTCACTCTAAAATTGTTTAGAGTTAGCACTTGACATATGCTATCAGGCAACGCATTGATGGTGGTTGAGGCAGACACACACACACAACCTCTACTTGGATCCCTCCCACCCTCCCATGACTTGCTGCTACATCGTGAATCCTCCTCTACCACCCACCCTTTACGCTACTGCCTGTCATATTTTCGTCATGCCCACACCCGCCCATATGCACCAACAATACCCGCCCAAAAGAGATGTCCACTCGGAGCACAGAGTCCCCATTTTTCCCAGTGAGTTAAAGATCGAAATAACCAAGGGTGTTAGAAATTTTCAATTGCTGTGTGTTGGAACTCAGGTGTGTACCTTGCTAGTTCCATGCATGGTGAGTAATTTTCTTTATTTACGTTTCTAACCCTGCATTTATGTTTAATTTGAATCTGAAGAATCTTTCAGGTATATGATAGTTTGAGGTTATGGTCTTTGGATCCAAACATAAGTACAGTACATTATTGTATTGGGTGTCCCATTGACTGTACCCTAACATATATCTGACACATTCTTTTTGTTTATATAGTACTGTATTTTAACAAAATACTGTATTGTACTGTATTAATACGTATACAGTCAACCCTCACATTACGCGGTTCACCGTTAACGCGGTGCCCTGCCGGAACCTAACATGCTCACATTCCGCGGTGCGTGTACCCCATTACGCGGAGAGCGGCTGACAAGCCGCGCCATTTTTGGATCCAAACCTCCCGCCATCCACCATGTTGTGTAAGAGGCGCGAAAATGGTGCGCACAAGGTCGCCCAGTCATCAAAACATTACCAGTTCTTCACCCGCCACCCACTACAGCCGGCCCAAGTCAGTGATAGTGATAATTATAGTGAGGATATGGACTTATATGAACTTTGGGGGGTTTGACAAAGAGGCCCTGCAAGCCTCTGTGGTGGATAGTGATACAATTGATACAAGTGATACAGGTGAGGGCCAATAATCTGCCCTCTGCCTCGGAACCAACCGCCCATCCCCGTGTGCCCAGCCATCTTTTCTACTAATGTAAGTGTTAAAAAACCTAATATTATTGATATTTCTCTTAATTATTAATTGTGTGTGCATGCCATCATAAAGTTAAGATAATATTTTTACTACAACATAGTTGTGTGTCGTCAAAAAGTGGAGTTTGGGGGTCGGCCTGGACTCTATTTCAATTAATCCCATATGTTATGTTATTCACTTTACGCGTTCCTCACTTTCCGCGGTACCCTCCGGGTTACATTAACCGCGTAAAGTGAGGGTTGACTGTATTCAAATGAATATTTGTCCGTGTTACAGGTAAAATCCTGAAGATTTGAACTATGGAAAGTTATGATGTGACAACACAGATTAATATTGTACCAGTCTATTAAATACGTTTCTGTTGTTGAAAGTCAAGAGAACATTCAGAAGAGAATTTTAACAGAGATGCCCCATGTTGCAACACCAGTCTCTCCTTCATCAAAATATTTTTTGAAAAAGATAGCATATCCATCTAAGCGTGTGAGACATCGTACAATGAGAACACGAGAGACAAACGCTACAATAATTGACCAAAGTCCAAAGAAGTCGATCTGTCGCCTTTCAACAGAATATGGTATTGGTCCCGGGCGTACACTCCACTATAATCCTCTGCGGCCAGACAAAATCCATGTTGGTACATGATAATGTTCCATAGTTCAAATCTTCAGGACTTTACCTGTAACAATGAAAAATATTTGTTTAAATATAAATAAATATCTTTGAAATTTATACAATAAAAAAAATGTCAGATATTAATGGGACACCCTGTACCTAGTATCAAGGGTTCAATGTCCCAAGGTCCATTGCACTCATGTTTTAAGTTAGTCATTAGCATACAAACTCTCCAGTTTGCCATACAGTCAGTACCAAAGGTATGCGAACTAAAGTGTCTACCATATACAGTACAGTATATACATAAATATACTGTACATAATTTCTTTAAGCACACTTACTCCAGGCTATGAAATATAATATGTGTAATAATATTTGCCAGTACAGCTCCTCCCCGACTTATGACAGGGTTAGGGACCCAAATCCAGGTCTTTAAGTCGAAATGGTCGTAAGTCGGAAATGCTTAAATAATACATAGAAAATCGAAAATGGGTGTCTCTTTTTCTTCTCAGCACCACAAAACACTCACTTTTAAGTTTGCCAGCCATTTTTAAGTGAATTACAAACGAAAATTTTGTCTGTGTAGTGACTTTGGGACTCAAAAATAAGTAATTTTATCAAATTTTAGTACCACTGAGGCAGGTCGTAAGTGCGGGTGGTTGTAAGTCGAGTAGGTCGTAAGTCGGGGAGGAGCTGTACTGTATACAGAAAACATGAAATCCACATACAGTATTGAAATTAAAAGATTAAATGAAGGGGGATTATTTGAACCTCTTAACACTTGCATATTGGCCTAAGAGTGTAAATATGATACAGTATTGGAATAAGGAAAAAGTCTATGAATATTATTCACAAAGGAGATTACACAAACCCAACAAACTCAACTTAAAATTGAATGGCACTATATCATGCTTTAAAAGAGATCTCACCTTAAATACCGGCTTTGTACAGTACAGTACTCAATACTGTAGCTGATTTCTGTAGCCTATAATTATCTCTCATATCCAAAACAAGTGTAAATTTAAAATAAAATATGGAGACATTTATCAAAAGGAAGGGTACAGTTTTGTAAATAGCTAAGACAGCATGGAGGTGTTTCATGGCTTACAATATCTATATGTTCATGACATGAATCACCCAAACCAAACCTATCTAACTTTACTGTGCCTAACAAAATGATACTGTACTGCCTACATGTGTTCTGCAGATTATATGCTCTGGCAAATTAAAACAGACCATCACTAACCATTTTTGATTTAGCATGAAGACAAAATATGGGCAATGCTCAATGGTACATTTCTGCTTCAATGAGACATTATTCAGAAATCTTTCCAGCTTATTTACCAGTGTAAATAAACAGTGTCCTACTTGCTGTAGACCTCCATAACAGAAGCCATTTCTATAGTAGAAAATTTAGAATCATTAAATTGCATGTGTCACCATATGCATAAACTACACTTAAAACTACATTCTAGAGAGTGATGATTCATAAAGAAAATCCCCCAAACTGCTAGTTTAGTGGTACTGTAACCATCTTCTTCACAATCACCAAAGAAACACACATTGAAGAAGACCCCATTATAATATAACAAGAGAAAAGGTAACCCAGACTCACATCCTTCAGTAATGGCTTATTTTCACTAAAACATTTGTCTTCATCCATAAAATGCAAATCCTGTGAGAGAGCAAAGAAAACAACTTCTGAATTTACCCAAGAAGTGGCAAATAGGTCAGCCTAAAGCCTCTGCATTTTACTTGAATTGTCAAATAACATTAATAAACTACATACTGTATATATGATTTAAGCAGGAAGAAATTACAGAGTAGGAAAAAAAAATACTAGTTTCAGTCCACATTCCTTTACATCAATGAATTGTACAATATACTGCACACAAACAAAATAGTTCTGCAATTATCAAATTTCAAGATGATTACATGTAAAAGATTTAGGCTTTTTGGAGTGTGGACAATGTCTAGAATAAGCCATTGTAAGATAAAGTATTGCCCAACAGAAAATGTGCTCTTAACTAACTTAACTTCGCAACCCTAACCTATTTTTTTTGTTATCCATCATCACCACACTTCTCACGTAGGTCATCAACAGTCTCCACAAACATGACAATGAGGAGTAGTATTGTATTGCACATAAGCCAGTAATTTATGTACTGTATATCTATCTCAAAAAAAAAAAAATTTCTTACCCCTTGAATAATCCCATAAAATGACAAGTACAGTACAGTAGAGTATATATTGTATTGTGCAATTTGAATACAGTACTGTAATATTATTTTTGCATTTTTTTCTTCCTGAACCTTAATACAGTACAGCACAGTATACTGTACAGGTACTATACAAATATGCGGCACCTTCCCTGGCAAAACCATTTTCAAAGTTTACTTGCCGGACACCTCATTTCATACCATTCTCTACAGCAGGGGTGGGGAAACCTTTGAGATAGGGGGCCCACACTGGAATCATGAGAGTTCTTTGGGATCCACCTATTATTTTTAAATCCTATAATAATCCTTGCAAATCTAATGGGTATGGCAACTACCCCGGAACATCACATCCCAGAACAGTTCCAAGGTGATGTGCTTTGAGCTGTGTAATAATAATAATAATAATAATAATAATAATAATAATAATAATAATAATAATAATAATAATAATAATAATAAACGGTTTATTAATAGAGTTGCAGCCGGTGTCCGAAAATATACATATAAATATGTGTGTGTGTGTGTGTGTGTGTGTGTGTATGTATGTATGTATGTATGTATGTATGTATGTATGTATGTATGTGTGTGTGTGTATGTATGTATGTGTGTGTGTGTGTGTATGTGTGTGTGTGTTTAAGTAATTTATTTCTCAAATGAACTGAACCTTTGCACACTATATGTACAGTCTCATTCAAGGTTCTTCGAACACTGCTGGAAACAGCTGGCAACTCAAGGCCATTTGTTTACAATAGTACGTCGTAAAAATTATGAACAAATGTAAAAGTGATCGGTGATTGGTTGCTTAGTTCCCCATAGCTTAATTTAATGGTTGGGCTTTGTTTTTTTGTATTATATTATACTGTGTACTATAGTAAACAAACGGCCTTGAGTTGCCAGCTGTCTCCAACAGTGTTCAAAGAATCTTGAATGAGACTGTACAATAAGAATAAAAATACTTACTTAAATAAAAAGGAAAAAGAGAAAGATTAAACCAATAAAAAAAAAAATTCAAATGGTCCCCTAGAGACACCAGAATTCAAATATGGTCACAGGTCACCAAGGCCGGATTATGGGGAGGGCGTACCAGGGGCCCGCCCACAACATTGTAAAATAAAAGTTTTAAAAACCTTTACCACAGAGCAATAAACAAGTGGAACAGATTGCCTAACACTCGCTGTGCACCACTTACCGTAACTCCACCAGGCCGCCACAAATATTTCCTACTAAAACTCATGTTTGGTGAACTGATTTAACTTATTTAGCAGAGATTATAATAAAATAATAATAAGGCTGTATAAATAAGTGAACACTACACACAAACTTCTTCAAGATCCAAAACTAATTCTTCAATCATCAGTAAATTCGCTGGTTTCCTTGAAAGAAAGCGAGACAGTTTTGATGCCTATGAGGAAAAAGCAAAAGATCTGGCAGGAAGCACTGAGTTTGTCCATTCAGGTCGTCAGAGGCAATCAAGCGTACAGCTTGCTCCACTGGATTATGAACGTTCAAATGAAGTGGATCCAAGAGACAATTATCGAACTAAATGCTTCCTCACAGACATTGATCACCTAGTGGTATCCCTAAAAGAAAGTATTTCTCCATACACGTTGGTGAAGGATCGCTTTGGCTTTTTAAGCAATCTGGAAACCATGTCAGCCGATGCCATTCATTCTGCTTCAGAAAATCTTCTGCAAATTTATGGAAAAGATATTGATGAAAACATCTCCAATTAAATTATTCAATTCTTGTCTCTGGTAAAGTTGTATGCAAAAGCCGCGGATGAACCCAATGAGTCGTTTTATTACAGAATTATAAAGGAAAACGATGGCTTACAATCAGCATTTCCAAATGTAGAAACGGTTTTGAGGATATATCTGGTGTTAATGGTCTCTACCGGGGAGCGTTCCTTCTCAAAAATGAAACTGATCAAAACAGGCTGCGGACCACGATGCACCAGGAGAGACTCAACAATCTGATGCTATTAAGCACCGAGTCAGACATTTCAAGAGAACTTCCATTTGACAATGTGATACGTTTATTTGCTAGAAAAAAATCACGAAAAGTGCATTTGTAAATGAATGTAGTACATACTTTCTTTGAATGGAATAAATAATTTGTAAATGTGTCATTATTACTAGATTTTATTGTTTCTATTGACCTTGGATATTACCTATATTTATTTTCAGTTGTCATCAGGGGCCCCTTACTGCTACGTGTCGCCCAGGGCTCCCCAACCCCTTAATCCGGCTCTGCAGGTCACCCAAGACCCTTGGTGACCATGGGCCACATTTTCCCCATCCCTGCTATACACTCAAACAATAAGCATCTTTAGAATTCTTTTTTTTTACAAAATATGATAGGTTTCTTACTAAATTTTATATTATTATTTAGGCAACTTCAAGAAATAATGAGGTTTTACAAATTTAATTACATGCAACCCACTGCGATATGAAATCCCTTGCAATTGCAATTCCTACATTTTTTTGTGGAAGAATTTGGATAATTATTCGTTTCAGCACATGACCTGGACTTTTTTATGAAAAATAGTTTTTCTGATGTTTTTCACTGTGTTTTGGACAAATGAGCATTCATCTAAGGATAGGTAGGTTAGGTTGGTTCATCTTATCTACAAAAAAAAAAAAGCACTTACAGGAAGGTGAATGCTGTCCAAGATGTGAAATGCTGCTACATCAAGACAGTAGTGTTCTCCCATGCCATCATAACTTGTTTATGCGAGCGCCAAGAGAAAAACATTTCAAGATACAGTATTAATGTTTCTGTCCTATAAACATGAAAACTGGCACTGTTAGATATTTGTATAAACGATTAAAAAATAAATTCTTACAAATAATACTGGTACACCAATCAAATTACGTACTGTACATGTATATGGATTTACAGCAATTTTTATATTTCTAATTCAGTGATTCTGCCTAGCAGCATTTCACATCTTGGAGAGCATTCACCTTCCTGTAAGTGCTTTTTTATTATTGTAGATAAGATGAACTAATAAAACCTAACCTACCTATCCTAAGATGATTGTGTATTTACTTTACTTTATCCTCTTCACCAGTGATTGGCTTCTTAGCCACTCAGATGGTCAGTCACATCTTTGTTATGCACTGTTGGCAAATACTGACTCTGGAGTGTATCTGTACCTGCTCCAGTGTTGGTCATGTCTGGTCTTGAATGAGTTCACACTCGGTGCCATCACAACACACTCTGGCAGACTGTTCCAAGAGTTTACAATTCTCACTCCAAAAAAGTTTGCCCTTGCAATTTTCTGAATTTGTGGCTTCTTCAACCTAAGTTGTGACCCCTTGTGGAGCATTTTTTTTTTCAATTTAACAAATTTATTGACAAAGCTTGGAGTACAGTTTGCCTATTCTGAGTAATTCAGTCAGGTCTTGACACTGAGGGTGGTATCACTTCTCACTGCCACGAAGAACAGAGGTTCATACACAAAGAAATAGATCTTATTCATTAACAGTACATATAGGTCAGAGTCATGTGGTGATGTCACTGTTCACTGCCATGCAGGACAGAGGTTCATACACAAAGAACTACATCAGTTTATTAGCAGTATATATAGGTCAGAGTCAAGTGTATAAACCTCAATTAAGTCACCCTTTGCTCACCAACAGTATAAGCGAGGCAACTGCAAGCAAAATCTCTCTGGGTAACTGAGGTGCCATAGTGCATGAATATGGTGTTTTCTGAATATACACAGGCCATAATAAAAAATAAATAAATAAATAAATAAAAATAATATAAAAAAATACCAGATAGGAAATAAAAAATTGCAATTCCTCCATTTTTTTTGTGGAAGACCTGGACTTTTTTTTATGAAAATTAGTTTTTCTGATGTTTTTCACTGTGTTTTGGACAAATGAGCATTCATGGAGGAGATATGCTGCCCCCCCTCCCCATCTAATAATTTTGAATTCTAAACAAGTGGGCAGGACTTTGGATTAAAGGGAACTGTGGGATAGAGAGAGTGTGGGGATTGCATCATAATCGAAAAGTTGATTTTGTCGAAAGATGCTCATTTTAATTGATCCAATTATTGCTTATAGTTACATTATTATGAATTCACATAAGAAATATCCTAAAAGAAAATTGATTCAGAATTAAATTCTATATTAGAAGAACCTATGTGCTATACCATATATAACCCAAAGTTGCATCGAGGGGTACTTCACTTTAACATTTATGTTATGTTTATGATATTTAAGTTAAACTGATTTCCCATGTGTGGCTTTGTATTGTACATTTAACTGGAGTACCTGACTACACGGAGACTAGTTATTTATTCAGTAAAATTTTAGTTTCAGTCATCCGGGGAATCTTAAGCATTTAACTATTGGAATCAGTAGTTTAGACAATTCTAAGCCACCTTTCTTCCATGACATTTCTCTCGCAAATGACCTAACCTAACTTCCTAACAGAGGCGCTCCGCCCCCCTAGACTCCTATCATATAAGTCATTTGTGAAGGAAACGTCATAGAAGAAAAGTATCTTAGAATTGTCTAAACTACTGATTCCAATATGTAAATTCGTGAGATCCCCTGGATGACCGAAACTAAAATAATACCATTAATTCTAAAGGTAAGATAGGAGTAATACCTAAACCAAGAGCAATCACCAAGGCTAAACCCTGAACATAGCAATAAATACGACCTGTCTACATATGTTCCTTCAAGCATGTTGTTAACCGTTAAAAATACTATCATGTAATTAAGAACACCTGTATATACAATATGTCACTAGTTTAAGGTCTATCTATAATCATTTGTGGGCATAAAATAAGAGGCAGGGAATGTACACATACATATACAGTGGACAGAAACAACAAACCCAAAAAATATAAATAAATCTTGACTCAATCATAACTTACCTACTGGTTTATGGCCCATCATGGCATAAAACAACTGGATCTCATTCTCTACATTCCATTCAATTTCCGTCATTTTCTATTTGTTAATTTATCCATACATGAGAGACGTGCCGGGTTTTACTGTTTATCCGTGCAATATGTCCAATGTTAATTTTACACCACGAACAAGGCGAAAGAACCAATTACATTTAGGGCTCAAAAATTCTCCAAATACATATTGACCTTCTTTATTAACATTAATCTAATACCATTAACTAAGTCGAATTAGGTTATGTTACGTTGGGTTCCAACTGTCTCCTAAAACATAATTGTGGTTCAGCATTTTTTTGCGGTATTATACTAACATTAACTATCTTGCTAATGTTTGTTGTTATTAAGCTAACAGCTTGTTGAAAGTTGCTTCAAGTAATCTGCTGAATAATATCACCTACACTGCAGAAATAAGTTCACAATTAGAATACACAGATTTCATAAAATTAAACATATTACAACAGTAATTACACAGGAAATTAGTTTTGAAATCCTGAAATCAGCTGTCTCTAATGCAAATATAATCAGATTTTAAAATTTGTCTGGCACTTGAGTCAGGATATGTTGTCAAACTCCAAGAAATATGAATAAGCAAGACACTTAATAGGTACAGTGAACCCACCAGATTTAACTTCATATAAAGCATGCAGAAAAATATTATTTTCTACAACTGGAAAGGACTGGAATAATTAACGCAACTACTGTCGGAGTGTTGTAATGGCACCGAGTATGAGCTATTTCAAGACCTGCTTGACCAGCACTGGAGCAGGTAGGTTCAGATATATACAGGAGCCAGTACATGCCCAGTACTTGCCAATAGTGCGTAAGAGACTTGACCAACCGCCCAAGCGGCTAACGAGCCGATCAGTGGTGAAGAGGATAAAAGTAAGAAGTAAAAGTAAGCCAATTCTAAGTTAAATTACCAAATGGCCACTCAAACTCGAGGTGGCCATGCCGAGGGAAGGAGGCCAGGAGGCTGAGTAGGATCCTTCCAATGTGTCCTGGTAGTTTTGATGACGCTACAGTAATAATGATTTTTTTGTATTACTGTACTGATCAATGAGTGTTGTACAGTGGAGAGTTATTATGTTCCACTAGTTTCAATTAACTGTAGAGCACATTTTAGTGGACTGTTTCCCCCCCCCCCCCTAGTGTACGAGCGCTAGGGGACCCCTCCTAGCACCCTTCCCACAGGGGTGACCTGGAATCCCAACTCCCAGGTCATCTAATTTACTAAAACTAGGTTCCGCTACAATAGCAAAATGTCCATAATCCTTTAAGTCGTTGCCGCAGTCACCCCTAATACCATTGCCGCTTTCTATGATGTGCCGTCACGCCTGGAAGTGACTCCTTAGCACTGCCTCAGTTTTCACCCCTGTGGTAGCGTATAGACGTTACCTTCTTACTGTTACCACGTAATTCCAGGTAACTACTGGCAGTGTGGTTCATGTATTTCCGCCCTTCCATGGGGTACAAAGTGTTTGGTTTATTCTTTACGCTAACCACAATCGGGTTTTCTCGATGGTTTATGGTTTGTTTACCTTTTTGGACGTTCCTGCTTCTACTCCTGCCTGACCTCCTGTTGGACCGTGATGCGTTCCATAGAATCACACACCTCCACAGGTTGCTGGCAGTGACTCCTGGTGCCTCTTGTCAACTTAGTACCATGCGGTGCCATGCACCCAGAACAGCTGGCGAGAAGCTCTTTCATGTCTATCCTCTGGGTGGATTATGGTGTGCTATGTGGAGTCACACACACACACACACACATCCTTGACCACTGGAGGGTCAAGGCCTATCAGGCGCTGGTCCTGCTGCTGTGCCCCCTCCCCCCCTCGACTATGTTTGGCCATTCCTTAAGTCCCTCTCCCCAACCCATCCTCACCACCAGAATATTTACATAATCAAAAGCGACAATTTCGTTTCGGAAAGAAGTGGGATCAGTGTTGAACAGTGATTAAGTCAGTGAATACCAGCACTAGACAGTAACAGCGAGAGCCACAACCCACCAGTGAGATAAGCACCCCTGGAAACCAACCACTAGGTGTTAATCACTCCACCCTGGGAACAACAGTGGGCCGGCTTTATACCTGACTACGAGATAACGCAACACCACCAAGCAGAGAGTGGGGTACTATGACACCACCCCACACCACCCGGTGTCTCCATGACCACGCGAGGTCCTTCATATTAACACCCGAGGACGAGTTACTGCATCACGTGAACACCACACCACCCGGTGTCTCCATGACCACGTGAGGTCCTTCATGTCAACACCTACGGACGAGTTACTGCATCATGTGAACACCACACCACCCAGTGTCTCCATGACCACGTGAGGTCCTTCATATCAACACCTACGGACGAGTTACTGCACTTCGTGATCACCACACCACCCGATGTCTCCATGACCACGTGAGGTCTTTCATATCAACACCTACTGACGAGTTGCGCGCTCGATCTGGCTCAAAGAAACTCCGAGTCCTATCTTCGGTCTCGGGCTCCTATGAACGCTGCCACTGTTAATTCACCTGAGAAAATCGACAGCGATGACTCTCCCCTCTTAGCTGCCACTCAGCAACCAAAGTGTTATTTCTGTGGTGGAGCACTGCATAACCGACCTCAGAGTCCTGCGCGTGATTCAACTTGCCACAAATGCAACAAGAAAGGCCACTGTCATGGGTTGCGTTAGGCTTACCCACGCAACCAACTCCAAAGTTTGTTTTACCAGAGATAAGACGCCCGGCGAGGCATAACTGGGACATGTATTTTTCAATTAGTGTATGTTAGCCAGCCTTTAGGGGGGTGGGCAGTGAAACAGTGTTGTACTGTTCATCGCTTCACACCCAAAAACCTCATTTTAAGTAGTATCCCCTGAGCCATGGGTTAGTTAAGACGTCGTCTCCATCCTCTCCCTCCTGAAAGGGGGCGGGACACCACACCACACAGAGTCCTCCACAGCCACTCCGTCCTGTGAACCGTCGTCGACACGAGACTAAGCGTGTTAACCTAGGTTGTTATCCCCGTGGAAATATCACGTGTGGATGCCTGGTTGCGACAAGAGCAATCCAGGCTGGCCTATCAAACCTACAGTAAATGGTTAATTAATTCACGCTTACAGAGTTCTCCTGCACCGACACCCGTCTACAGTGACGTGATCGACACGAGACTAAGTGTGTTAACCTAGGTTTGTTATCCCCGTGGAAATATCACGTGTGGAAGCCTGGTTGCGACAAAAGCAATCCAGGCTGGTCTATTGCACCTAAATGGTTAATTCAGGTCACGCTTACCAGTTCTCCTTGCCGCGACAACCGTCTACCGTGACTGTCAGTGACGCGAGACTATGTGTGGTAACCCAAGAGTACTTTTTGTTGCTATGGCCCGTGGAAAGAAGTTCTTGTGCGGAAGTCTGGTTGCAACAAAAGCAATCCAGGCTGGCAGTAAATGTATCACTTGAAGAATTAAGGCTCTGTTAGGTCATACCCATAGTAGAGTAATCACATGTGTCCCCAAGTTAAAATTCTCTTTTAGAAGATTAATTTTATTACAGCGTGAACGTGAGTGAATCATATATCCATGCAAATTGTAAATCATTGTATGGAAGCTTGGCAAATAAATGTAAGTGCAATTATCTGCCCGTATCTGTGATCCTATCTTATTATTACTGAAGGTAATGACTGATTGGTTATGACATAGTATAACCAATAACTTAGATAGATGTTGGAAATTAAATGAATTTATTAAATCATCATTTATCAAGTATAAATCATGGAATGTCGAGTGGTGGAGTGAACTTCTACGTAGATACGCCATAATCTCCTGTAAGTAATCAGTGTGAAGGTATCAAACTCTACGGTAAGAAATAAGAAATACGACATATTATTATCTTTATATAATATAATCCACTCATACTTACCACCGATCCACCCCAAAACCATGACAGCCATTTTGCGAAAGTATGCAGATCATCTCGTTACTCACCTGCTACTTCATCCTCCACTTGTGCGGTCTTACACTCCTACTTTAGCTGCAATATCTGCGACTTCCCCTGACTGTCTCGCTCGATCTCCCATATATGTGCTTGTTAATGATGATGCAGCTACAGCCCTCGTTGATACCGGGAGCTCAAAATCGTTTGTATCAAACCGTTATATCCAGCAGAAGTCTCTGAAGTGTCATCCAGGGTCAGGTCACATGTCTATGGCCTCGTCTTCCCTATCATCGCCAGTACTAGGTCACTGTACTGGAGACATTACCCTCAAGGGGAAACTGTATCCAGATACTCGACTAACTGTTCTTCCTGAACCTATGCAATGACGTTATTCTTGGTCAAGATTTCATGAGCCTACATAGTGGTGTTACTATTGATTTCGGTGGGCCTAAAGAGCACCTAATCATCGGAGATAATACAGTTGCTTGTAGCCTGACATCTGCTTTGGTCGATCCACCATCTCTCTTTTCTAATCTGACCTCCCCCTGTAAACCTGTTGTGACGAAGTCAAGACGATTTAGTGAAGCGGACAGTGCTTTCATCCACGGTGAAGTCGATAAGATGTTGTTGGAAGGAATAATCGAACCCAGCACTTTACCATGGAGGGCACAAGTCCTCATCACTACTAATGAGCGGCGCAAAAAACGGCTTGTTGTCGACTACAGCCAAACCATCAACAGGTATACCTAGCTGGATGCTTATCCCTTGCCCCGGATGGACGACTTGGTGACTAACCTATCTCGTTACAAGATATTCAGCACTCTCGACCTAAAGAGTGCGTACCATCTGATCCCTATGCGGGATAAAGACAAGCCATTCACTGCCTTTGAGGCGAACAGTAAATTGTACCAGTTCCGTAGGGTCCCATTCGGAGTGACGAATGGCGTGGCTTGTTTCCAACGAACCATCAATGAATTCAAATGTAGAAACGAACTGCTGGGTACTTTCGCGTACATTGACAACATCTCCATCGCCGGTTCGTCTCAACAGGAGCACGATGAAAATCTGTCCAGATTCCTTGAGGCAGCAAAGAAGTCAAAATTCACCTTCAATGAAGACAAATCTGTCTTCTCAGCAACGTCGATTGATTTGTTGGGCTGCACCATATCACATGGTA